GAGGCAATCAGTTTTGAAAACAGCAACAGGTAGGACTGTTTACTGTAGCTGGTTATAGTTCGTACAGAGCTGGCCAGCACGACAACGTCGGCTGGGGCAAAATCCTCTAAACACGAGGCCGGCACGATGTTTACGTTTTTGCTCTTTCTGCGAGACCAGTTCCCGGTGCTTGGAGGAGGTGAAACTTTCACCGCAGCGGCACGGTGTCTCGGCGGAGGAGGCGACGCTTTGCCAGGAACTGCGCGGTGCCGCCTTCTGCGTGGAAGGGGAATTTTCACGTCTCTGAACAGTGATGTTCTGTACTGCGCTAGAGAATTCCCATTCATAGACATGAAAATTCCCTATTTCGGAGATTTTCCCCTGCAAACGCTGACAAAATTCCCGGCAAAATTTTCTGCACTTAAGTACAAATTTCTGCCCCCACCTACGTTCACACATACTATATTTACACGTGTCTCACGTACATTTGAAATCACGACTAGCCCCTTCAATGCCGCAGAACGAAAGCATGGCTTTCTTAACTCATATACTGTTCGTACAGCGCACATTGTGGGCTTAAAGTCTAACACCACTAGTAAACTAGAAATCGCTCCGCGTAAATTTCAGAAACAAATCTCAAAGGCTATGCTTGCGTGGTGCATGCGTCAGAACCGAATACAGCACATGAAGGCACACTGTGGCTGCTAATTATTGGTCGTCATAGAAGAATTTAACCATTCCTGAAATTCCCTGCAGTATCACAAAGATTCAGTTTTTCCCTCCTGCTCAAAATTACAGGCGAGAATTCCCCGAAAAAAGAAAAATTCACTTCACGGAACATCACCGGCCAGGGCCGGCTAGGAAACCACCAACCCAGCTGCACGCCAGCCTGGCGCGACATATTGCAAATTGTACAAAAAAATTTTTTTAGCAAGATTTTTATCACGCAGATGTACCTCCATACATTGTATCAAGCTTAGTTGCTTCGGCGTTAATTTTGTTTTCTTGCCTGAGACAAAGTCGGAAATGCATTTTTTTTTCAGTGACAAGTTCCATGTTAAAAGAATGTAAGAAGATTAATTTGGTGAGCATTCCTGATTTTTGTGCTTACATTAGGACACTTCGTTAACGAAAATAGGATGACATCAATTGTCTGTTTAAGACTATTTCAAGGAAAATAAATGAGACACTTGGTTTTAGAGAAGAAGCTGGAACATGAGCCTTTATGACAGAGCTGCAGCCAGCGATTTATCTCGAGGGTTCTCTACGTGTAGATCGGGTAAGTTCGGCAGCTAGTAATATATGTGAAGGCGTACAGCAACTTTAATGTTGTCCAATAAGTTAGAGCATGAAGAAATTTCGGGGAATACCAGAACCCCAGCAACAACGCCCTAGTCACGGCCCTGCTTATATCAGAGACCATTCTGGGCACCTTGTGCCTGCCTGTTCGTCATCAAATTGTTTCTGCGCAGAGGATTTTACTTTTCCAATGCGCAGAAGATTGCTCTCGCTATTTTTTACGTGACATGAAGGCTTTTGCCATTCAGTGGCAGCCTTGAAAACATCCAACAGTGACGTAGGCTTCACTTCCTGCGCGCGATTAATCAAATCAAATGAAATCAAATGTTATTTCAATCGTGTAAACTTAGAGATGGAGGACAACAAGAAAAACTCCCGAGAGGTTGGCTTGACTTGTCCGTAGCCCAAAGTACTCAATGGCATGTAAGCAGCAGCAAAGCAAGACAGTGCACAAACAAAAACATTAAAACATATGATAATTGGAGAATAAAAATATACAATAGCCTGCAGAAGAAACATACAAGAATAGAATGCCAGGATCAATAAAATTAGTTTTCTTATTCAAATAACAAAACAATCTCTGATTTCAATGCCAATTTTACAGGCGGTTATTAGGAAGTCCATTATGAGGAAAAAAAATGACTTCAAACCGGTCGGCAATGGACGTACAACCTTCGCATAACACTTGGTCCCATTCAACAGCAACGTGCCTTTCCGTCCACTTCAATTTCTTAATTTAGATCGAGATTACTATAACAACATAATTAGTTAAACGACTACAAACAGCGTCCTTTCGCCTTCATTGCCTTCATTGTCTGTTGGTTTTGATTAAGGCTATGGGCAACAAAATAAAATAAATGGAGAACGCTTGAGCTGAAGTGCAGATCACGATATAACGTAATCGAGACTCACACGAATCGCCTTCGCAACTGCTAGCCTGCTTCGGTTTCCAGTGCATGCATGCCTCTACCATGCCGTTAGGAAACAAACGACCGTGCACGTAACATTGGCCCGTTTCAAAGTATCATTGAACGCCCACTACGCCATAATTATTCCTATAGCGAATCGGCGAAGTAACCACAACGCTTGTGTAGGTCAACATGCAAACCTATGCAGCTGTTCCCTTCGTTGATGCTTCTTCTGCCGACGATGATTAAATATCTCCGATTGCCTATTTGTAATAGGCGCACCTTCAAAACACGCATTCGTAGCTCAGTTCACATCTATCGACGCCTGGGGCAATTCTACGCTTCTGTCAGGCAACGTATGATGCCTTAAAAGAAGACTCCTTGCACAACATCACATTAAAATAGCGTTTTTTAAAGCAGTTTCAACAATTGTTGTGGTTTTGTGATAGAACACCTGCTTGCCACGTAGATGTTTTTAGGTGCAATCCTCGCTTGGACACGGAATTTTTTTCATTATTCATTTTATTTGCATATTTCACGGTTTTTCATTCACGGACAAGATAATTTTACAGCACAACCAACGACGCCAATTCCAGATTTTATTTTATTTATTTTATTTATAGCATACTGTCAGCCACCTCTTCGTGGCCAAGGCAGGAGTGATACAAACTTTCATACTTGCAGCCACATATACCACTACACTTCACGGCGCAGAAATAAAATCACCACATAACAGGTTTGCGTGGAACATGAATTAATACTCGGGTTACAGGAGCAACACAAGAGCGGTATCGAAAATACAATCCAAATTTTTGTTCCTAACACAAAGTGTAATAACATCATTAGAAGAATTGAAATCTGCACATACGACCAGACAGCTTTTACTACAAACAGGCAGTGGCAGCTGATAAGAATGCCTCGGGCGCTGTGAAGCTGGTGACGTCATGAGGTAGTTCATTCCAGTCGGAAATTGTTCGTGAAAAGAATGAATATCGCCGAGAATTTGTTTTTGTAAGCGGCACCACTATGGTGTTATCATGCTTGTTCCGAGTTTTTCGCGATGTATTGCACTGCATGTAAGTGTTAAAGGCGAGTCCTGAGTGTCCGTTGACTATGTTATAAAGGAATTTTAAGCGATGTAACTTTCTACGGGACTCCAATGTGGGAAGAGCGGATCTATTACGAAGTTCAGTGACTGAACAGTGTCTACTGTACGCGTGGTAAATAAACCGAAGGGATTTATTTTGGACTCGTTCTAGTAAGTATATTTCTGTTTGCGTGTGAGGGTCCCATACAACGTCAGCATATTCCAACAATGGGCGTACCAATGTAGTGTAAGCGACTAGTTTTGTTTTGCTGGTGCAGTGCCTCATGCGATGCTTTAAGAACCACAATCACCGCAGTGCTGCTGATGTTATACCTGCGATATGAGTTTTCCAGCTCAAATCAGAAGTGATTGTCAGACCAAGGTATTTGTACTGGTTAACGGTTGTTTTGTTTAACATGTAAGTGAATTCCGAGGGATTTTTTTTACGTGTTATGGTCATCTTGACGCACTTTGCTATGTTGAGGCTCATTTTCCAGGAGTTACACCATGCTGTAATAACCGATAAGTATTCATTTAGGGTGGCGTGATCTGTTCTTGATTGAATGGGCAGGTACACAACGCAGTCATCCGCAAAAAAAAAAACGACACTGCACAGTAGATTCGGAAGACATGTCATTTAGATAAACTAAAAATAAAAGTGGTCCTAGGACAGAGCCCTGCGGTACCCCAGAATGCACGGGAGCGGAAGAAGAATTTTTATCTGCTATCCGAACGTGTTGGTGTCGGTGGGATAGATAACAATCAAGCCATCGAAGAATTCTTTCATTGGTTAGGATTCGGCGAATTTTAAACATCAAATGGGAATGGGAAACTCGGTCTAAAGCTTTTTCGAAGTCTAAAAAAATCGCATCAATCTGTCCGCCTTTGTCAAGTGTTTTTAGAAAGTCATCAGTAGTGTGAATTAACTGTGTGGTGGTTGAAAAGCCTTGCCGGAAACCGTGTTGATTTGGAGAAAAAATTGTTACTCTCCAGAAATGAACTTAAGTGTTTCTGCGAAACGAGCTCTTTAACACTGTTGCGTTACAAACGGGTCCATAATAAGTTCTCCTTTTTTTTTGGGATACAACACGTGTTGCAATCATTAGGTAGTATCGTGCAGCACTACAAAATAAAAAATCTAAAATAGAGAAAACATAAAAGAGAAAACAATGCATATGTCAATTATTCGATGCTCTGTGCTATATTGAAGTGTTACTCACAAATATTTTCTAGTTAAATTGCTGGGAAAAAAGCGGGGTGAAACGGAAGGAGGAGAATGGAAGAAAAATACTCGTCCCAGCTTATATTTTTTTATTTTAAATATTTTTTTGTCTTCAAGTAATGTATGATTCTTACAAACTTGCCCAAATTTCAGTTCCAGTTTTACCCTCTGTAGTATGAGTCTGGGTCCTCTTTCCTCTCTTGTAACCACAATTATGCTTATCCCATTCCAAAACACTGTATACAAATGGTACTTAAATCCATAAGATTGCCTAATATTGAAAATAAACTCAGGTTTACTTTCAACGTTATTTTTTTATTTCCATTTCCTCCAACTTGCCCGATTTCACGTTGTGGGCCCGTGCCACTAATGGAGGACAAGAAGAAGGAGAAACTGTGCTGCACAGCGCGGGCGCACGCTCCAGAAGAAGAAGCCTCGGCCCAAAGCCTAGGGTCACCATCGAGCGCTCCGCTTCCTTGACCTCTTCAGTGGCACCCCCGGCGCCATGTCGACCGACTCCTCGGAGGAGCTAGCCGTGATCCGGGCGGCGCGCATGGGCAGCGCAGCCACTCCGAGCCGTTATCACCCCGCGCCGCCAGCCGTTGCCGATGACCCCATGATCGGCGGGCCAGTGGTCGTTGGACACGAGAGGGGAGGCACCTCGAAAGGCCACGCCACCACGGTGCTTTACTTTCTGACAGCTAGCGCCATCTTAGTCTCTGTCGTCTCACTCGTGGTTGGCCTGATGCCATGGCGACTATTCGGCCTGGGAGGCGGGAGAGACCTGTACGGAGGGGGCCAGTCACTGGCCGCCGATGACAGGGACACCGACGGAAAGGCGCCGGCCGTCATCAGGCCCTACCGACACCCTGACCACGACGGCGACTCCGAGACGCGCGTCTGCGCCACGGTGGCCTGCGAGAAAGAAGGAGGCGCGTTGTTCCGCCAGCTCGAGTTTCACCAGGAGCCCTGCGACGACTTCTACGCGTACGTGTGCAAGCGCTGGGAGACGGCGCACAAGCTGCCCTACGGCGCGGCTCGGCTTTCCATGGACGACACGCTGTTGGACGAGTACGAACTCATGCTGGCCGACATCATTCAGCGGGGCCGACCGGGCTACGAGGCCGTCAAGGACATCTTCCTGCGCTGCGAGTATCCGCGCAAGGGTGACACTCACTGGCTCGACGTCCTGGCCAAGATTGGCCTTCGGCCGTTCCCGGTGGTGTTGAAACCCGGAACCACTCTCGACAAGGTCGTAAAGGACCTGATGACCATCGGAATCCAGCCACTCTTCAGCCTTTCGGTGGAGCGCAGTGTCGAGAACCCAGAGCAGTCTTACCTCCTCATCGGACAACCGGAGCTTCTCATGGGGCCGCTGCGACTTGGTCTGGACATCGAGTACTCCTATCTAGATGATGCCCTCTCGGGCTTTATCAGTGAAATATCTGAGCAGAACCATACGGCCCGCAGTAACGTGCTCAAGGTGGAGCGCTTCCTCTCTGCGTCTATGGATCGGCACCAGATCGAAGGATCGGGTCTCAACGACGAGCTCGTCGACGTGACCGAACAGTTTCCGAAGCTCGCTCGACGAGTACGAACCATAGTCGCCGATGCTTTTGGAACAGATTTGTCAAAGCGACCTCTCAAGACCTACTCGCTCAAGTACTTGCACGCATTGGAGTCTGGTGACTTGACCGCGAACATCGGCGAGTACTTGAACTACCTTGCCTTCCGCACGGCAGTAGAGATCGCTGCCGACAATGAGATTGACCTCGGCGACCTTATGGCAGTCTTGTACTCCCGCTACGCCGGGTACCCAGCTCCAAGACCGATCACGCGTCGCAGACTGTGCATCCGAATGATGAACCGGTTTGAACCGGCTCTCATTATGCACATGAGCATGGACACAACAGCTACAAAACTGGGAGGCAAGGCTTCCTTCAACTCGCTCCTCGATCTCTTGGAGACCGTACTCAACGAAACGCTGTACGCTCAGACAGAGTTCGACAAGGATTTCCGGGACAGCTTAGTGGAGTCCGTAGCTGCAATTAATTGGGAGCCCATCGTTCCGGACGCGGTGACGTCACACAACGAACTCTTCCGGCGTCTGGTCTCAATTTACGAGACCGCTTCCGGTAGCAAGAGGGTTATTGAGAGCTACATGGCGCTGTCTACCATGTTCCGGTATCGCGACTTTGCCCAGAAGGATTTGGACAAATGGGTCGGCTGGCGAGGAGGCATGCTGAGCACGTATGCCCACCTGGACGCGCCGTTCCTAAAGCTGGAAGTCCCATTCCCGGTCTTCGACTTCCTTCGTGATCCGGATGCATCGATGGAACGTTTCCAGATTCCGCGGGTTGGCACACGAGTTTTCTACGCCCTTTACCACGGCATCTACCACTTGGCCTACAACTACGGTGCCGGGAAGAAGCCGACTCTCTTCGTGGCCAAGTTGCACGCGCTCATGGACTGTCTGGGCAGGCAGTATGGCAAGCTACGCTGGACCGAATCCCGTCGACGCATCAGTCGCAACTCATATTACTCCAACCTCTTGGACTTCTTGGCACTGGAGCCGACGTACCATGCCTACCTGCGCTATGCTGACCGAGCCAGCAGAGAAGAACGGCTGCCCAAGCTCGAGAACCTGACGCCCCGACAGCTGTTTTTTGTTGAGTACGCGCGCAACTTTTGCGAGGTGAACAACGCCACGTTCCTGGACCGAGTGTTGGACGAAGGCACGAAGGCTCCCGGGTGGTACAGGGTAAACGGGCCTTTGCGGAACTTCAAACCGTTCGCCGATGCGTTCATGTGCAAAACCAACTCGTTCATGAATCCGCTGCATCGGTGCGCTCTCAAGTAGAACTTCTGAAGTCGGCTTTCTATACAAGCCTCTCGATTCAGAGAATGGTCTTCGAACGGTAGTCCTCACTTAGCGCCTGGTTTCGATGTTGAGACTGCAGTGCCCTTGCTCTTTCTTGCTGGCTCAAATAAAACACAGACGTTGCCCTGCCACCAGGGCAGTCAATAGTGTGTTTTGTGTTCGTACGCTGCTGTCCTGAAGCCCGCGGCAAATGCTAAACTACCAACCTGCTCTTGTACTAACGCAGACCAAAACGATCTGTTGCAGGTGTCTATGTGCTTCAAATTATAGTACCAAATGACTTGCGTTGTTTCATGGTAGCTCTGCAGTCGTGTGGCGACAAGAGCATTGATCATAAAGTACCTCACGACCACACAGTTTTAAAGGCGCCTTTCATGGCTACTTTACATATATGCAGGTCCGGCTGCTGAAATGTCGGCATAAAACCCCTAGCCCCAGTATGTGCCAAAGAAATTGGGGAAACGATACCATAATCGCCACTCGTCCTCCAAACATTACGAAAGTGATACATGAGCACCCGAAAAGTAACGCATGTGTCGCAAGTCGTGAATACCTAACCGCCCAACAGCTGGACCACTCAAGTGTCATGAAATGGAGAAGGCAGCCAAAATACGCATCGTGCTCACAAGGCTTCAGCCATACCAGAAAGCACATGTCACAGGCGAAAATGCGCGCGCCGCTCAAAGTGAAAAACTTTTAAGGAGCACGCATTAAGTTCAAAGTACTTGGAAGGCGCTTGAGATTCGCCTTCAAGAGTACAGATGCGATAGCGTAATCGGGCCCCGTGCACATCGCCTTCTCAATTGTCAGCCTCGCTTCGGATCTAGGTGCCTGCCTCAACCGTGCCATAAAGTAACAAATGACCATGCCCGGAACATTGGTGAATTCATATATTCCTACAATGCCTGCCACAAGTACAGATGTTGAGTGTCCACAACGTCATAATTATTCCTTTTAGAATCCTCGAAGCACCCACAACGCGTCCGTAGGGCAATACGCTATACAGCTGCTCCCTTTTCTGATGTTTCTGCAGTGGATGAGGATTAAGTATGTCGGAGAGGATTGTAATGGGTGGACCTCTAGAACAATCGCTTGCTGCAGTACGCATGTTTTGACGCCTGGCGTGATGCCAAGCTTCGCCACGCTCCTTCCTCAGTGTGACATACATACAGTGCTTTTTTTTTTGGAGGGGCAGTGAAACTCTTTATGGCGACACCCGTTCGTCTCGTTATCGTTTGTAACCACCAGTGGCACACACCCGAGAGAGCGGGTATGTGCCATAGGGGACAGACGTTTAGGGGTAAGCTCCTAAAGCAGTGAGTCATGCGTCCTAGATGTATGTGGCAGCTAGCCACCTCTCATTAAGCTCTTGGAATGCCGAAGCTCCTGAAGCAGTGGGTCATGCATCCTCTATGTCTGTAGTAGGTAACCACCTCTCGTTTAGTTCTTGGAATGTCCGCTACATTGCGGTACTTGTATATAACAAATAAAAGATTAGAAGAGAGGGGGCTCAGTGGCTGGCAGAAGTACATGAAAGGATAGAAAGGCAGCTTCGAAATTTAGGAATCACCAAAACACCATATTAAATGAGACAAGCCTAGGGCAGAGGTTTATAACTACAGCTCAAGATGCTAGGCTAGAAGGGTACCATCAGTGAACTAGTTCTGGAAGTGCACGGTGAATCGGAATGGACCTTCTCAGTCTGCGAAGCCGCAGCGGCATGCGTGTGGGGGCCGCCGCCGCGAGATGGGGAAGGAAAGAGAGGAGTAGGAAAGCGTATGTATGAAACTCTATGCGTACAAGGGTGGCTGTTTTACGCATTTACAAAAGAACAGTGTAAGAGATAATCCGCAGAATAATGGAGTCATTCATTGGCGAATTCGGAGTGACCTACGAACTCTGCACCGGAGCACTCCACTCAGCGGAGGGCAACAAAATAGAATCTACGAATTGAACACACCTGCTCCCTCTGGAGCAAATTGCCATGTCAAAATGGAACGTGGTGGGCGCATTCATGTTCTTGCTTGAGTGGGCGCGCTGGGCACAGCGACGCTACGCTAGCAAAACGTGAGCTCCGACGCGAGGCGCAACTGACGCCAGCGTCCGTTGGCGCGCCCTAAAGTTGGCACCATTTCAAGAGGTTTTAAGGCACGCGGCGCTTTGCGACTTCCGGTCGAATCCACCGATTTTCGCAGAGTAGAAAACAATGGCAGCGTATCCACGGAATGAATGATGGAGAGCGGGGCGAAGTCATCCGTCCGTCCACTCGTTCTTGCTTCCGTCCATCCATGCGTGCGTCTGTGTGGCCGCCCGTGCGTCCATCCGCCCGTCCGTGCGTCCGTCTGTTCGTGCGTCCGCACGTCCATCTGTGCGTCCGTCCCTGCGTTCGTCCATACATCCACTCCTGCGTCCGTCCATGCGTCCATCCGTCCGTGCAGCCATCCGTGCGTCAGTCCATGCATCTGTCTGTGTGTCCGTTCGTCCAGCTATTCAACACTCCAAGTACCACCATCTCGCATCTTTTCATCATATATTCCGCATATAGAAGCACCACCATCCAGCGGACATTCCAAGGACTGAACGAGAGGAGGCACACGCACACTTTCTTACGGCTTGCGCTTCGTGTCTACTTCCCACCTTTAACCACCTCGAGTTCATGGTATATAATAGTTCACTGTATTCATGGCACTGCGGTCCAACGCTCGCTAAACCTTTCTAAAACCAAGGAGCTTACGCTCAGCGAGTATAACGTAGCAGCCCTTTCTTGTCAGATAGTGATCAATGTACATGCGAATGGCGGCTAAGGGTTAATGAGAGACAGGAGAATTCGGCTTTTAGTTAACGCGCACGCTGCGAATTTTTTATTGTTCAACCACGCACAGAAGAAATCTCCCACCAGCACCACCTTGGAGGTCAAATGTAAGACTGGTTACACACTAGTACTACGACTACGAGGGACGGACGGGTGCCGCTATAAGGAGCTTTTCCCCTAAAGGTTGCTCCGTGGAGTGGATCTCGGGATGGAAATGCTCCAGATCTGCCAATTAAACATACAGAGAGCGCTCTCAATCTGCCAATAGAAGAGACTTGCTCCACGAGGAACAGCAAAAAGTATTACCGGAAGTGCCCCGAATCTGCCAATAAATTACATCATGAAATTTACGGCACATATATAGTCATGTTACGTGGGGGTGCGGAGGCGCGTGTTCCGACGCTCACCACAAGGTTCCCCTCGTGAAAAGAAGCTGAAATGACGAACGATTAGTTTGCTCGAGTGAACGCAGCGAGCCGGAAGTACTTCGTGTTGGTCTAAACGATCTGCAGGTGCTGTAAGGGAACATGTGTAAGATGATGAAATTCACGGAACCGGGCCGTCTACGTATGCTGACTTCAGCCACTCGAGTGCTGCATCACGCATTCCATTAAGGTCCACGATGAAAGTTGAGGAACGGTGTTCGACTACATGGAAGGGTCAATTTTTTCTTTGTTTTGTTATGCGAGTTATTTCCGCTTGTGTTCCTTATTTGCTTATTCATTGTAATCAGTGTGCACCCTCATATTGTTACATTGCTCAGAAACTTGCAACCTGGATGTACGCCCCCTCCCCCCCCCCTTATGAATATGCCTTCGGGCCCTTAAGGTTGAATAAATGAAATGAAATGAAATGATTGCAGGGGACTGCGCACAGGACCGTACGCACGAAAACATGCGTTCCTTTGTGGAGGTCTGGAGTCACGCAAACACTCCGTGAGTGGCTTGCTCGCGTTTTCTGTGGTCGAAGGTCCCGGAAGATATCACGCAGTTTGTCAACGTAGTCGTTCGGTGTGTGCGAATAGTCGGGTTCAGTGGCCGCGAAGAAATCTGCCTGTAAGCGAAGAGAGGCTCCATAAACAAGCTCGGCACTGGCGCACAAAAGGTCTTCCTTGAACGCAGATCGAATGCACAGCAGTGTGAAGGGCAGAGCCGCGAGCCACTTGGCCGATGTACTGTGTGATGTAAGCACTGCTTTCAGGTGAGGATAGAAACGTTCCACGAGCCCGTTTGTTTGTGAATGGTAAGAGGCAGTTTGCAGTGACATCACTCCGAGAAGCTTAAGGAGTTCCTTGAAAAGCGATGACTCGAACTGACGGCCGCGGTGAGGGACCATTGTTGTGGGGCAACTGAATCGCACCACCCAAGTAGAGACGAAGGCATCGGCCACTGTAGCTGCTGTGACATCAGGGATAGGCGTAACCTCAGGCCATTGCGTGAAATAGTCAACACAAGTGAATAAATACCGGTAGCCTTTACAAGGGGAAAGGGGGCTAACGATGTCGATGTGGACCAGTGCGAAACGTTGATCAGTGCGTAGAAAGCGCTGAAGGGGAAAGGGTGCTGGGTAACGATGTACTTTTGCGCTCTGAGGTGGTGCGCACGCACGTACCCTGTCGTGAATGTCCGCATTCATGCGGTACCAGAAGAAACGCGATTAGATCAGCGTTTGAGTTGCACAAATTCCTGAGTGTGAAAGGTTGTGCAAAGAATCGAAGAGTTCTTCACAGAAAGGGCTAGGCAAATACGGTCTTTGTGTGCCTGTAGCGGTATTGCAAACGATTGTAGCGGTATTGCAAACGTCTTCAATGGGGACTGCATCGAGCTTGAGTGGTTTTTGCATATCACGTATAGGTGAGATTGCTCTCAGTTGTCGTCCTGTGCTCTTGGCAGCTCACGTAAATCGATAAGACAGGGAGACGAAACTCACGCTTTTGAGCGACTGCGCATGACAGCGTCCACGCGACCAAGTGCGTCAGCAGGAGTGTTGTCCACGCCGTTGATGTGCCAGACGACCGTTATGAATTTCTGGATGAAAGATATAGTTGCACTTCCCGTGGCGTATATAGTGATCCAGTACGGCCTATAAAATAGGTGAGTGGCTTGTGGTCTGTGAAAACTGTCAACGTTCTGCCTTCGAGTATAGGTGGCGAAAGTAGAGGGCGAGA